GTGAGGGAGGCAGAGGGAGCGTCAGTAGGTATCATAGGGTCATGTTTTTCTCACCTGCAAAACAACTAGGATCCACACAAATCAGACACGGAGTCCAGCTCCCAGTGACCTGAAGGGCAAACCAGTAACTGCTGAGCATCCTTCACAGGGCCCTCGCAAAAGGGCCAGGAGAGTCTAAGACACCACAGGCAGCCCACAGCTCTGCAATCCATTCACAAGGCATAGAGGGATCTTTTCTCTCCACCGACAGATTGGAGTAAGTGCTCTTAATGGAGAAAATTATGCGCGTCCTACAACAAACCCAGAGGGCCCAAGTATAGTAGGTGTGACATGCCTTTAACTGGAGCCAATGAAACACCCAAAGACTGCCACAAAGAAAAAAGGTCAAAGAAAAACCCATTCCAACCAAGCTATAAACAGCACCGGACCCCAAGAGACTGCACCACCTCGCCGGCCAGAGGATGACAACAGAGCCCAGCAGAAAGGGCTCATTCATCCCCTGGGTCAGAGCAAATGGCCAGGGAAAGCTGCAGATCTGGGAGAACGACTAGCAGCAGGTTGGGCAGAGGCAGGTTTTGTGCATGGTTTTTGTTGAGCCTTGAAATAAATTAGCATCCATCGCCTCAGCTCTTGCTTGTCCCTCCCCGTGGTGGCTCACCCCCTTTTTTTTTTTTCCTGTTCTGTTTCTCTTCACCTTCCTCCACGTCCTCCCTTGCCCGCTCCTCGTTTGTTAAGGAGGGAGAGGACAGACTGGCCGGTCTCCTCCAGGAGAACTGCCTGAGAAGTCCTGCTAGGTCTCGAGCCGCAAGCAGATGTGCGTGCCCTGTGAAAAGACGCCCATTCATCTCTGCGGAGAGCGTGCGGGGGAGGCAGCAGCAGCGCAGGGGAGGGGGGAAGTGTTGGAGGAGGCTGAGAAAAGGAAGGAGGCCACAGTTAAAAATAGGATAAAAGGACATGAAAAAAAATGCAGATTTTTTTTTTCTTTTTTTGAAAAAAAGCTTCGCTCGGAAAATGTGCTGCAGCTGGAGAAGCCATCGGGCTGAGCCTGGTCAGCTTTCACCTTCCCCCCCTCTCTCCTCCTCCCCAAGCCCCCTTCCTCTGAGCGTGGGCCTGGAAGCCGGCCCAGAAACCGCTCACAGAAAGAGCTTTCCTCTGGGGATCTCCACCAGGGAAAGAGTAGGTCTCGCGGCAAAGGAGGGGGCAACGTGGGGAAAAGCAGGGAGAGTTCACCACAGATGCAGGCGGTCCCGGTGGAACTCCTGCCTGCAGTCCAGGCTGAGCTGAGAGCTGGGCTTGAAGGAAGATCACAGCCAGAGTCAGCAGGGTGGGGGCAAAGGGAGGGCATCCCTATTTTGCCTGCGTGGGCGTGGGGCAATGCGGCATGCTGCAATGCCTGGCTCCAGCTACAAGGGCTTTGCTTTCCTGCCAAACCCAGCACACCACCACTATGGCCCAGGCTGCAGGGACCCAATGTCCGTGAAGCACCAGGGGGTCAGATGCAGGTTTGCTGCATTAGGGACATGCCACCCGCAAAGCTAACAAACCCAAAATATTCTGGGCTGAGAGGTGGCACCAAGCTAATGTGGCCAGACAGCATCAGCCACAGACTGGCCAAGGCTGGTCTCTGCACCATGCCCTCCCACAGCACCAGCCTGAATCACACTGGCTGTTAGGGATGAGCCTAAGGTGATGCCTTTTATTTGTGACAGTGTCTCAGTGCAAGAAGCCTGACCGAAGTCAGCAGGACTGCTTTCATTAGCCTGGGAAGCAGAGTCAGAGATGCAGCTCTAATTTCTCCTCTAGAAAAGGCTTTCATTTCATTTCTTGCCTTGCAAAATCCCAAAGCCAATCCCATTTGTCTCAGTGAAAGCAGGATCACTCCCCAAAATGCTCCTGTAGTGTCCAAAAGGCTGGGAGCACCTTCAGTCCAAGTGTGCTAATTCAGCATGACAACAGCCATAGAAACATCTTCAGCCAGAGTTGTTTCATCCCTTGCTTGCCATTAACAACAGTTTTATCTCCCCTATCAGTAAGGAAAACAAACCCGTTCAGAGTGGAAGGGGTTGTCAAAGTGGCCTTGGCTCAAAAAGGCAGCACAGCCAGCACTATGTCCGTGCTGAAATTATAATACCGCTATCAAATATTTTCCTCCACTCCAGTTTTATGCCTAACCTTGTATAAGCCAAAAAATATTACCAGAGGCTAATATTAGGATACTATTACTCTATGAATTAAACATACGGCACTAAGTGTGGCTTTCAGCATCCTTTCAGCAACCCTGCTGCTTCGGGCAGACACATGGCACCCTTAATTTTGGCCTGCCAGATGGTTCAGGTGCAATGGCCTTTACACTTGTATTCCCACTTGTCCAAGGAGCAGAGCTACTTTTCATAAACAGGCAGCAGCTCCCTTCTTGCTAGTTTTTTTCTACCACCTCTGGGGTGTGCCCTTTGCTTGCTGAGAACCCAGTTTAGGTTGATTCTCTGGGAAGTAATAGGCCCAACATATGCACCACAGATTGTGGTAGCAAGCTAACAAATAAAACTGACTCTATACCATTTCCAAATTTTTGCTTTTTAAACAAAAAAAAAACCCAAAAAACATCACCACCGCTTCTTGTCTTTATCAACAAGCTAAATCCCCATATCACTGAATAATCTTATCGGACTTCAAGCACAATGTAAATAAACTCACCCAAGCTTCAAAGGAAAAATATCTTCTCTAAACGCAAGCAGCTCTAAAACTTTTAGAAATGTTGTGGGTTTCTATTGTGAGAGGATATATTCACACTTGCATTTTCCTTGTTGACTTGTTTCTTTCACCAACATCAAGACCATGAAAACCAAAATAGCCTCTAGTACACCAGAAGAATAGATGACAAATGGTTTTAATGTGCACCCGAAACACAAAGGAGAAATGAAAGACCGTTCTTAGCAGTATATACAAATGAGAGTTTCCTCTCATTTAAAATTAGAGACTGCTCTAGACGGAAGAAACAGCAGTATTTAAAAAAAAAAAATCAGAGAAAGAGTACCTTGCATTGCAACAGGAAGAACTGAAAAGTAGTTCTTAGGTACTGCAAGAGAATTAAAGGCCTGTCCTACCCATCCCAATATACTGAAAGTTTGATTGAAACCTGTTGAAGACAATGACAGCTTTTTTTTTTCCAGTGGCTTCACTGAGGTTTGAATCAGGCTCCAGTCTCTGCAACAAGAAATTTCACAGACCCAGCATGGAGTAATGAAGATCTGCGTTGCAGATATGTTGGTCCCTGGAGAGAGCACTTTCACAGAAAAGGGGAGAGGGTAGGGAAAAAAACACAAAGAAAACTTTCCAGGCACAGATTTGCAAAATGTTTGAGTAAATCCAAATGCTGCAAGGGCAGATTTCATCAGAGCAGAGTTGACATCATGCTGAGAGAGGTCACCCACAGGAGTTGAGCAAATAGCTGAAATAAGAACGGCTGGGAATAGGCAGTAGAGTTTTGCTCCAGCCAGAGGCGCAGTGCTCTGCGTCCGTCTCCTACTCACACACAAGTGCTCACCAAAGGAGAAAAAAAATCGAAATGCCTGAATATTTGCCAAGGAGAGATTTCAAACTGTACATTTGACCGCAACAGTCACTGGTTCTGCTGAACTCTTTAGCTGCAGAAAGTCTCTAAACATCAGGGCTTTTCCCCTCCCAAGGGGCCAATGTGCATAACTAACGAGCCGGGAACAAGTCACAGAAGACCAGCACATGCCATGCAAAAGCTTACATGGGATTTAAGTGCTTCATGATAGGCTTATGTGGGACTTAAGTGAAACATAAACTTCATATTGGCCCTTCACAAAGGTCACATTCGTGCAACTTGAGCTTTTTCACTTAGTTCCTGCAGTTGGCCTGTGCCATGGCGTACCTAAGCCCTCTCCTCTGCCACAGCACAACGGGGCTCTTTGCTGATACCTCATCGCCCATCCTGCAGGCAGGAGGACCAACTGCCCACCTGACATCTGCACTGCCAGCTGGTTATACAAGAAGCAGCCCAAACTGCAAGCTCAGCTTGAAAATTCACGGGTTGAACAACGTGCAGGGCAAGAATTAGTCACCGGCGATTTTGTAACGACTTTCAAACTGTGAATGCATTAGAGAAGATGATCATCTAGTCCAAGTCAGTGAATTGTTTTAGCTGTGCAGCACATTGCAGCCATGCAGCCCTGACAGCACAGCGTGACCACACATCTCCAGTTGTGGTTACCTGAAGACCATGCCACTACCCTCCCAAGGAGCAAGGCAATGAGCTACAAAAGCAAGAGACCCAAAATCACTACCACAGTGGAATTAAGCCTTGGGAGTCCCTGGCTCCTCACAACCCCCCATGAAGGCCATTTTCCAAAGCCACTGGCAAGGACATCAGTCCTGCAAATGCCATGGGAAATGCTGAAGATGCAACCAGCAGGTTGGCAGGTCCACCTTGCCTACAGTATCTTCCTGGAGACCCCCATGTCTGTCAAGACCCCAGGGAGCAGCAATCAGGGCTGCAGTCCCTAAATCCAAGGGAGATGCACACAGGACATCAAAATCACCGCCCGAAAGAGGAGAGGGGTTCTCCCAGCTGGGCACCCACAGCATGGCAGGGAAGAAGGAAGCTCCCATCCTTCAGCATCACTCTGACAGGAGGAGAATAGTTAAACAAAGCAGCTTTAAGGTTTTTATCTGCTTTCTGGCCCCATCTCCACTGAGGGAGACCCTTGACAGCCAGCAAGGCAGGTACCAACCTGGTGATGCTGTGGTAGGTGCCCTGTGGCTGCATTAAGGGCAAAACATCCCAATAAATTGTCAGGACCGGGGCAGAAAGCAAATATAGGAGGAAGGAGACAAGCAGGACACGCTGGACAACAAACGAGAGCGTGGCGGGCCTTTAAGGCCCGTCTTTTCACCTGAGCATGCCAACAAGCCCCAAGGCTGGGGGGAAAGGCGCCATCCCAGTTTCCAAACCCACCCCCAAAATGGTGTCCTACCCGTGCTGTAGTGCTCCAGGCCGGTGGGCACTTCTTGCGTGGCAGGCTCATCCCAGAGCGGGCAGCATGTCCTCGGCTGGCAGCAGGCGGACTGAAAGCCGCAGGTCACCCAGGGATCCTCACAGGGGCCGGCGGCACCTTGCTTCTGGGACCAGGAGAGGGAGAAGCGTCAGGGGAGCGGGACCCTGAAATGGCTGCCCCGTTCAAGGTGGCAGCGTGCCTTTCTCCCCCCTCAAATCAGGCACCAAGCCCTGGGCCCTCAGAGTTTGCTCAGAAGAAACAGTGTTACCCAAACTCACCTGGCTGAGGGGTGTGACAATGAGGCTGAAAAGGCATTTTTTTAAAGAAACGTGAGGGAAAAAAAATGAAGGCCCGCCGTGAGGCAGTGCTCAGCAAGATGGCAGCGAGGAGGGGCATCTCCTGAGGGCCAGCCATGGGGAGGACAGCCTCCTTGAGAGCGGGCTCGTTTCAGCCCTGCCAGCTGGAACTATTAATTTTTGACAGCGGGAGGCCCCACAGCCCCCCAAAAAACATGGGGAGGTCGCGGCCCTGCCCCGGGTCACAGCCCTGGCACTATGGGGGAGCCCGGTCCCACGCTGGTGGGAGCTGGGGCAAGCCATCAGATTTATGTTCATATGCGTCTTTATATTGATATCATTTGTGATTATTATGTTTATATTTGCATTATTTGTATTTATATTAGTTATAGTTACTTGTCCATGGACGTCTATACGTGTGTATACGTACATCTGTGTGTATATATATATATATATATACCTGGTATGCACACATGAAGTATATACACAGATGTGTACTCATATAAACTTACGTTTTGTTACACATATATTACATAATATACTGTATTTTACACTTACACATAATACATTATATATGTACATACATGTATTGATTATACATGTGATATAGGCACGTATATACCCACACATATGTAATCTTGGTTATAACTGTCATTATATATTACACATGTTTGGTTTTATTGTATATAAAGTGATATTTATACTTTATAAAGAAAATATATGTATTATATATACAAGCATATATAGGTATTTGGAAATAATCCCAGGACATAATTTTCATTTTATTTTATACATACCATGTGTATATATAGAATGTATATATGTATATACCTTATATACATACTTGCCATATATACATATGTGTAGAGACATATATACCATATAATATATATATGGTACATATATGTGTATATCTCTATATAAGAGGATAGCAACATATATATAAATAAAGTCAGGATGTTTTCTTTTTTTAAAATTTTTATTATTTCCTGCAGGGAAATAGTTTTGCTTCGTTCCCAATCAATATTTAAAAGCCAAATGCTTGCTTGGAACCATTTAAAGGAAAAATAGTGAGCTGTGTTAGAAATATTTCATGTGTCAGAGTGGTCTTTTCTTCCTAATTTGGTGAAAATTTTGCTTTCTAGCAAGTCGTCTGTGCAGCCTGGTGTCTCAGCTCAGAGTTACAGCTTTCATCTGACCTTGTCTAGGATCTTTAACACTGGCCAGAATTTCTTTGGGCATATGTCTAGTAAAGTGATTTCTCTGAATAAGGGTCGAAGCATGGTCAAACCTGTCCCATAGCTGCTGGCAGCCAGCATGGGCACGCCCAGGATCACACTCTTAACATATATTATACATAACCACCCATGAGCTGCACAGGCAGAAAGGCGCTGGCTTAGGAGAGGGAGCACCAAAGTTGTCCAAAAACTCCAGAAAACCAACCGAACATTTTCCAAAGCCTCATCTGCTTTGTGCTGATCCCACTACATTCATCCACGGCAGGTGAAGGTCAGCACGGGGAGCGGAGGCACCGGGACAATGGTTACCCTAACAATCCTCCTCCAAACACAAGTGCAGGAAATCCGATGCAGCGATCCTATTTCCAGTTGAAGTTTGCAAGCTCGAGAGGTTCAGATAAGCTCTGGGTAAACAGCATTTGGACGCTGTTTCATTTGCGTGAAACCTTGGAACAATTTAGTGGTCAACACCAAGCCATGTCAGTGAATAGGCCAGCAAAGTTGCAGCAACCAAAGAGAAAACCCACTTCTAGGGACAGAAAAACAACCCAAACTCCTTTCTTACCATCACTCCAGGGCGAGCCAAAGGATAAGGGGCTGTGTTGCCGATGGTTGTGTCCATATAGTAACTCATCATCTCAGAGGTGCCTGCGGAAATGGAGATGGACATTAGATGCCCTGCTGCAAAAGGCATAAAAACTGATAGTATCTACTAAACCTGTGCTTTCTCACATCCATATAAAGCTAGGACCAGACTATCATCTTAATGAGTTTAAGCTGGAAAAGTTAAGAAGAAAAATATCTGTATTAATAGCAGATATTGTGATTAGATGTGTTGTATCAACAATGCAAACACACAGATCCATTAGTGTAAACTGATGAGAGCCTGACAATGGTGAATGAATTATCACCTGGAAGCTGATGGAGCTACTCTGAGGGAAGATGAGATCATATTTCCTTTGCTGTAGAATCAGTGGGAAGTCGTTGCCATTTTTTTTTCTTTTGAGAAAAAAAAAAAAAAGGCCAGTTTGTTGAGATCAACACCTTTCCTGTAAAAGTTTTGTCAAAAACAATCTCTTTCACAAAGAACTTTGCTGTTTTCAAGAGACATTCTTCTGTTTTCCCGCATTAGCTTACGTTTCCGTTGCTAAAGCTCTCCCTTGCATTGCTGAGATTTATATCCTGAGTAATTTGCAGTGCACTAAACAACGATCTCAGCTCGCAGGAGCACATCGCAGTTTCACATGTCATTCCTAGCATGGGATGTACTCCTCTGAGCAAGTCCTTCTACCAGTGCTGTTCATTAGATGGAATTTTTAATCATCAATTAGCCCATTTGTGTAGCTGAGGTGAAGGAGCTGCAGTCTGGCTCTGTTTTCAAGTAAGTCGACGTTTCTCCCTCTCTCCCTTAAATGCGCAGCAGAAAATGCAGGGCCAATGCACTTTCTGTGTTTTGGGGAACATGACTTAAAGGTGCTGGGAGGAAAGAGTAAAGGGGGAGTAGTCTGGGCTCAGAACGGCTCACTCAGGCAGGATATGACTTGGAGCCAAGGGGAATGGCTATTTTCACCGTGCCAATACACAGCATAGCCTGCGAGACGGAAGAGCTGCCACTGCTTTAACCTCTCTGAGGACACAGAGCTCCAGCTCCTCCGAAATGCCTCCCTTCTGATTTCTGCAGACCTCCTGCGCTACCGACTGTAACCGCTGCAGATGCGAATGCTTGTCCGAGTCATCTTCTAGACAGAGCCAGCGCAACCGCCTTACCTTCAGCCTCCACTTCTGCACTGCATCCACGAATAACTCCCAGAGGCACTGGGACCCGCTCCCAGCCTTCCCCTCCACACCTTCCCCGCTCACAGGGCCGGGGTGGGGGGGCTTTGCTGTTGCTGGGGGCCAGCCAGCGGTTAGCAAACATCCAGGCAAAGGGCAGAGCCTGCTTCAGCTGTGCCTCACTCACCACTTTAGCAAACAGGGACTCCAGAAAGCGTCTCCCACTGCGCTCTGTGACTAATGGCCAAATGTGAAACACCTGCATGTGTATGTGTATTAAATTATTATCATCATTTCCTGCTTGTTATTACTAACTTTTGCTCTAACACCAGTATTTTTTTTTTTAAACTTCTCTTTTTAATTCACCTAAGTGGTAAAAGAACAACGAGCCTATTTCTCTTTGCGCTTAGAGCAACACAAAAACACGCATATTGCAAGTTACTGTGGCTGAGAAGCCTTAACTAATCTCGGCATCTGTGCACACCCTACCAGCCTGCTCTAACGAGGCGTTAAAACACGTTTGCTTAAATCTCGTTGCAGCTGGGTCAGTCTGCAGCTGGGTAAAACAAAGAAGGTACATGGAGCCCATTTCTGCAACTCGCCTAATGAAGGGCAAGGTGCTCAGTCCTCGGTCTGTCACACAGCCATCCCCTGATCCTAACCTTAAACAAGTGTAAACCATCTCACCTAAACATGAGCTGATCTCCCTCTTGGTCTAGAGTAAAGATTAATGCTGCCAAATGCTACCAAAGCGAGACAGACTCTGCAAAATGGAGACAGAGAAATCTCCAGGCTGATCCACCTATTTCAATGGCACACACGTGTCCGAGAGTACTCAGTTACACCGTTAAAATAGCAGTTAAAACAGCAGTCCCCATGAGCAGCTCTTTTTCCTGCTTTGCAGCTTGTGCAATAGGCAGTTGGGGTTGGGGTTTTTTTTTTCCTTTGATCAAGACACCTAAGTCACACCAGTTCTCGAGAACTGCTTTCATGCCTCTCTGAATGTCGTTTGCATCTTTCTCAGGATGCCGTTGCCAGCTGAACCTTCCAGCAAAGTACCACTCGTTGATGCTCGAAGCAGCATGTGCTTCGGTCACAGGAGAAGCACTAAACCCATCCTGACACCCAAGACAAGGCTTCATGCAATAAAGAATATCAATAAGATTGCCAGAGCTGTAAAGCAGCACCAGCAACCCCCTCCCGAGCCCTGGACTGGAAAAGGGGAATTATCATCTCTAGACAGCGGCTGAAATAGATTTATAGCAAGCACAGTTTGCTTTTTGGTTTCTCTTCCCCTGCAAGGTGTACTGTTAAAAAGCACAAGTCAGGGTGAGAAATACTGTGCAACCTCAGCAACCACCTGCACCCCCATCCCTGGCCGTTCAAGGCAAGTCCAGCTAAAATGCAAGTTAAATTCTGTCCCCCAACCTGATGCAGATTTGGGGCGGCAAGGGGTGTTAAATGACAGAGACACGCAGGCTTGAGGCTGTGAAAGGGACCTGGAAGACAAGCCCTGCTTGAAAAAGGGCAGGTGAGCAGATTCTGTGCACAAAATAATTGTGCTCTGGAAAAACAGGTATGCAAGGCCAGCAATGGGAGGCAAGATGACAGCAGAAAGGGAGCTCTGGTGTGCTTTGTCCAGGCTAATTTTAACAGAACTTCCACCACTTCCCATAGGAAACTACTTCACAGCCCAATACATCTCTCACTGTCAGCAAGTTTCCCTGATGTTTGAGCGATATTTTTCTTCTCTTTAGCTTCCTCTAATAAGAGCCTAAATAGTTCCTCTCCTCCCCTTGGATGCCATTAGATAGCTTTAATGACCACTCAGGAGCTTGCAGCTGAGCTAAATTCAATGATAGTGCTCTTCGTGGCAGGTAACTTGGCCGATATTAAGGAAATCACTGCAGATTTACACCAAGATAATCAAGATCCACAGCTTGCTGAGAGCTGTTAATAAATAGAGGGGAATCAGAGCCATTTGGTAAAATCCTTAATGACTTAACAGCTTGACTTCAGTCTTATTGTTTGCTCTTATTATTCCTGTCTTATTGTGAAAACATGTGTGGGAGAAACAGCATTTATTTTGGGACTTGATCAAGTACCAGCCAAAGCTATTAGACTCTTGGGTCATTTCTAAAGTAAATTAGAATTTTAATTTAATTTCAACATCCATCCCTCCTCTTTTATAAGAGGTTTTTTTAAAAACAAATTACCAAGCTTAGTTTAAAAAAGGAAAAGCTGATTGTCTTCATGATTAACACATGCACCCATGCAGAGGTTAGGAAGGAGTTAAAAATGTATATTAAAACAAAGCAAACTTTGTCTATTGGATACATGAAGACCCTTTATAATAGTCTCATATAATGTTTTAGTATTATATTGTTTTAAGGATGGGGAAAGAGAAGCGGAGTGAGACCACAGTGACTTTCCCGTGGCAGTCGAGACCACCAGCTCCCACCTTTGTCTCCCAGTTTAGTGCTCTGTGCACGGGTCTCCCCTGTCTCTTGCAAAATCCTGCAGCTCAGATTGCTCCCCAGTTTCTGAGTTGTAGGACCATGCTCAGGTTCTACCCATCCCATATCCCTCAACCCCAGGCTGGCAACCCAGTAAAGGTGTCACTGGAGGGTGGCTCAACTGGGACAGCTGCAAAACAGTACTCGGGCGCTTTTCTCCATCCCAATAAACCCACAAAATTCCCTCTCCATGGGGATAGATGAGGAGCCAGGAGGACAAGGCAGCATCAGCAACCCCATCAAAATATTTCTGACTTCAAGAACATGAATGAAGACTTTAAAAATGAGAAGCAGCACCTTCAAGATGACCATCCTCCATGGGCTGCTGCGCTGGCAGCTCACTGACCCAAAGCTGCTTAGTGATAGCCATTTTATTTTTGCATCAAGTAATAATTTATCATCTTTGAGGGGGTGGGGAAAATAGCTCGTGGAAATGACATTCTTCCGCAAGGCTTTAACCCTTGAAATCCTGGCATTTTCCAGGCCGCCTGCCAATTCAGTTCTCAGGGGAAAGAGTGTTTGTTGATCTGTTGGCATGTTAAAAACCTCATTCAATTCATCAAACCCTGGCACCAGCTTAAAATAAAAGAAGCGTCTTTAATGCAGGGATATGAGCAATAGAAATGAGCATGCTTCTCCTGCTGCCTATTTACAAACCACGCTTTTTAACAGATCGGCCACCTCCTGTCTCCATTTCATACTGGGGATCCCACATTTGTTATGATTTTAAAACTTCGTAGCGTTCTCAAAGATAATACCTGATTTACTGAAGGGAAACTGGGCCGGGCAGTAAATAATGATGCTATGGTAAATAGAGCAATATAGCAATTGCCCTTCTGCACCCTCCGTAAATACTCCAAGAGATTAAATGACTTGGCTAAGGTCATATGGAGAAAGTGAGCATGAGAGGCCGAGTATCTGAGCCCCTGAGCCACTATCTTAACTACACAGCGGTGATTGCAGTCGGATTAGTGTTGCCATAAGAAGGTTGTCCACGCTGTTTCTGGGAATGATGCGGCTAACAGGGGCAGGGGGGGCTGCCTGTCAGCACATCACTTTCTGCTTTAACGCTGTGCTCTTTCTTTTCTCAGTAGCTGTCAGATCTGAAGGAGATATGATGGTATCTTAAGAGCCTTCCCATTTGGCTGGACAAGCTCTAGCTGGGATGGATGACAGCAGTTGTGAGATAGTGCTGGGACAGTTAAAGTTTGGACCAGTCTCATATACACACGCGCCCACGAGCCCCTGTTCTCTGTGCTTGGTATTAAACTGCTTTCTGCTTTAGACTTCTCCTTTACCCTGCTCATTCGTCTATTAGTCAGCTGCTATTTTATAATGAAGCTAAAATAGTGCCACCGTCAACAGCACCACCAAATCTATAGCGAGCTGACAGTGCAGGTCATGGCAAGGAGAGGGGTTTAGGTGGGATACTAAACCAGGGAGGCTGTTGCCATTAAATCACGCTGCTCTCTCTTGGATCATAGCAGCTACTTGCAATTGCAGGAAGATGTGAATGGGTGGTGGTGGGGTAATTAGGTCATCTGTTATTTCACTCACAAATTTCCCTCTGTGAAATAATAGACTTACAGCACAACATCGGGGCCAGATCGTCAGCTGGGGCAAAGCAAAAGGGGAAAGAACCGGATGAGTTTCCCACAGTTCAGCAAGGGATCCCCTGCACCAGGGAAGGATCTGGCCCTGCGAGGAGCACATGGTCGCTATCTCAGAGAGCCCAGTCTGCCCCGTGGTAATGGGGTCTTGGTCAGGGATTGACAGCCCAGCTGTAAGGCTGCGTTTTGCTCTAGACTCCCGCAGCAGGAGGCTTGAGACCAGCCTGCCCAGGTCTGCCAGTGCTTTGAAAATCCCACGAAGCACCTCTTTTCATTAGGTATCCAAATCGCTTTAGAAAATTAGGTTACCTTTCGTTCCTCTGTGCCTCAACTTGCCAGATGTATAACGAGGAAAATAGCACTGGGGTGTTTTCTAGTTTGGAGGGGTACAAGGTACCCCGAAGCTCAGCGGTGAAGCTGAGGACAGGGGACACACACACACACACACACACATCCCGGTGCACAAAATCCACGGCGTGCTTCTGCACAAACCCCAGCCACTGGGTGAGTGGTGCCATTCCCTGCTGCCCAAGGCGAAAATGCCTGGGTAGCCCAAAAAATCTGGCTTGCCAGAAAATTGTTTACACAACAGGCAGGGGAAAGCTTAAAAAACCAGCCAAATTAGAGGCAGCATGAATAGCCTGTAAGCAGGAAACCGCTCTGGACCCAGCCCACAGCCCCCAAAGGTGTCAGTTGACAGCACAGGATGGGAAGTTGATGGTAACTGTAATACCAAAGGAGTGGCCACATGCAAAGCAATGATTTAGAGACTAATGGGAAGGGGGAAGGCCTTGCCTGTGCTCCTCAGGGACTCACAATTCCCACTGGCTCTTTTCGGCTGGGTGAGGGGTGCAGGATTGCGCCCTTCCCAAGGAACGGCAGCGGCGCGGCAGCACATCCCTGCGGTTGTCACACTCAGGGCTCCAATTCCTCCCAAAAGCAAATGCTGGCACCTGTGGCACTTTCTGCCCTTTGGGGGATGGCATTGCTGTTGAAAACAAGGGGATGTGCGGCAGCAAACCCCTTACAAGCATCCCTCCGAAGATGGGAATCAGCCCCGTTGTGAGGGGGTCCGCTCCTTGTCTGTCTGTCTGTGCTCAGGGCTGGAGGGAGCTGAGTGAGCATCCGACCCCAGGCACTTTGCTTCTCCCCCTGCCTCGCAACAAAAAAAAACAAACCTCCGTCCAAACCAAAATGCAACTCAAAATAGAAAAAAGAACTGCAAATTTAATCCACTGTAATAATGCCAAGGTGCAGCCTTCTGCCTAGAAGAGGAAAATAATAATGTTCTCCTAAACATACATATAAAATTTATATACTCTATATAAAAAATAAAGGGGGGGGGATTTTTAAAGGGAAGCATCAGCTCAGACATTTATATAAGTTTCTGCAGTACTGTTAGCAAACACATGAATCAGTTACTGGGTGAAACTGGAAATGGAGAGAGTAAAAGTAAATCACTGGCAAAACAAATCTTAGATGTCCTGAAAATGAACACAGGTACCTACAACCCACAAAAGAGTTTAAACAGACTCTCTCCCCACCGCCACTTACTACTTAGCTGAAAGACCAGGGGAAAAGCTTATGTCTTCCACGGCTTCCCACACTTGTCTCCGATCTCTTTCCAACTACCTGGTGCTATCCTCTGCGCTGGAGCTGGAGAGGATGGAAATATAGTGTTTGCAGCAGGGCCGCCTATTCAAAGGGAGGGGGAGTGGTCAGTCCTGCATCCAGGGCGGTGGGAAAGGAGAGCTCCACGCCGCTCGTGCTCCGGCGGCCACCGCTAGCCAGGAAAAAGCCACCTCTGGCAGATGTCACGCCGATGGGGGGAAAAAAAAAAAAAAGGGGTGATGTTGGTTGAGGTGGTCATGAGGGGCAGCCTCCTGCTAGCCCCCCCCCACCCCCAGTGCGGGGTACTGGGCTGTGGTGGTGGTGGCCTTTGTGTCCACGCTGCTCCTGTGTCCTGTAAAGCGAGCCGAGGGCTTCAGCGGGTTTTGCAAGTGTTACTCCGGCCCCCCAAAGTCCCTGTGAAGTGGAGCTTATTTTTGCACGGCGACTAAAAATAAAGGCACGCAGAGCACGACTAGGGTGAGGTTTATCCAGCCCTGATCCCCGAACCTCGGCTCAGCTCCTGCCTCTGCCTGGAGGTGCCTAATGGCAGAAACTGCTGTTTCCTCCTGAAAGGTCCCCTGGGCACTTCTGCCTTTCCTGCTCCCGTGCACCAGGGCACCGCCGGCTTTCTGGTGCCTGCCTTACCCCCAAAGCTGGGCAGGATCCAGCCATCAGGCTGCTGTGGACACAGCCTGGTAGCCTGCCCCAAAACCCCTTATCACACGCCTCTGGTACCAGGCGTGCCAAAAAAAAAAAAGCCGTGGTAGATGCTGCTTGCTTTTAAAAGCATAAAGGCTGAAGCAATCTCCCCTTACATAAGGCACCAGAGAGGGGAGATGCTGGGGCAGCACTGGGAGCCACTGGTTCAGCTCCCTCCTCTGATAGAGGTGCCTGGTCCCAACCTGCATCACCCCAAAGACTGCTTTTAACGCAGATGCTAAAGGAGGCCAGGGGCTTTCTGGAGAGAAGGCTGCTGGGACCTGAAGGGCAGGCAAGCGCTTTCCCAGCTGGGCAGGAAAAGGGAGAGGGACAGAAACACAGGTTGCAGCGGGCTCACTTCAAAGAAACCACCAGTGTCAATTACCTGCTTCGCTCTGGGAGTGCAGGACCTGGGGCTGCCCTCTCCTAATGCCTCTGCATCCCCCTGCCCAGCCTGCCCAAACCCTCGCAGCCTGGCCAGGGACTTCTGAAGCCCCAGCTCTACCCCCAGATCCTGGATGCAGGAGGACCTGCCCATCCTGCTTCTCCTGCTCTCACTCTCCAGGCAGCAAAGCTGCTTTTTCCTCCAGGAGAGGGCTCCAGGCTGGTAATCCTCTCCAGCTCCAGCACAGATCCCCATCACACCGTCTTTGTGAGCAACCGCTCCAGCTGAGCCCCTGCCAGCAGCCTCAGGAGCGGGGCAAAGTCCAGACACCAAGGGTTACATATGTGCTGTTCTGGGACATTTTGTTTATGGGTGAAATGGGAGACTGGGAACAGCTGCTGTGATTATTCCTAGAAATCCTAAAAGCAAACTGTAATATAACAGCAAAAAAGAGGACACAGCCATGGGACTCGGCCCTTATTGCCTCAATGCACTGATACTGTAATATTCTGCTTGCCAGAATATTTGCAGAAGTGGCTGGTTTTCAGGGAGGTTTGCAGCATCTTCACAATAAAAAAAATGCAGCATGTACATCTAAGTACTGTCACTGGAAATCCAGGCTGAAGTATTGATCAGTCTGAGGAGAGAAATAACTGCTGGGGACAGCCCTTCCCAGTCCAAAACCAGGTATTTTGGATACTCTCAGCTAAGTGGACATTTGCAAAGTGCAGACTGAAACTGCATTTGCTATGACATGGATAATTTCTGCCTGCACAGGGCTTCTGTGGCATCTACTGCTGCCAGGTGCTACCCAGAGGAATCAAATGTGCAAAACTAGTGTTCACAAACATAAAGGTCTCTCCTGTTCTTCACCCACCAGTCCAGGAGATTGCTCAAACGCACATAGTGACAAATAAAAAGAAAACCCCAATATTTATGCACATAAAACTATCAACAGGTCCTTCAAGGACTTTCTCCAGCTCCTAAATGAAGAATGTAGCTCTCCTTTAGCCCTTGCTTTAACTTAGAAACACACGGCTACAGGTGGCCCGAATATACGTTACCTGTTGAACTTGCAGCCGTAAGGCACGGATTGCTCTTGTAGCTATTTTAACGCAGGAAATTATTTACAGGGTTCCCATCTTCTCAGGAAGGTTTCCAGCCTCCTGGGCTTTGGTACAAAGCCTCAGTCACGTCTGAGCGCCAAAGGAGTGGAATGCATCCAGCAATCAATTTTTATCTGGGCAACTCTTCCCAAGGCTGCAGGATAACCCCACTGGCAGCTGCAAACAAGATGTCTTTCCCTGGGCTGGATGCTTTGCTCTGCAGCAGACGGTTCTTCCGATACAGTAATCTATATATTAATAGCCTCTGTATTATGGCTGTCCAATCAACTGTGTGTCTGCAAAATGGAGAGGCTTCTGGTTTTGGCTGTTTCTTACAAGGCAGCATGATGTCTGCTGCGTGCAGATCACCTCGCACAGCTTGCACGTGGTCGCCTGATTTTGGGCACATCAGTCACCTAAGTCTGTTGCTTCAGCTCGCAACAAAAAGTTGGGTTAAATTTCGGGTAGCTCATGGAATTTATCATAGAGCCATTGTGCATCGAGAACTACTTTCCATTCCAGATGGTTTGGATTTTCTTTGTACTCGTAAAAAAATAAAATGATTCCTTAATGTTTAACTTAAGTAGTTATTAATGTTTTTACCGAGTCTGAGATGTCTCGTGGATGTTTCACAGGTTGTGCACTGGTAGACTGCTTCAATTTAGGGGCGCACAGGCACACAGGCTTCTTCTGGAAGGTGCTGGATATAGGTGTCAGCAGAAACAGCCCCTTTCCCAATAACCTAAGAAATCCTTATCACCGTTTTGCAGCTAGAGGAGTGGATGGAAAACAAAAGCAGCATCATACTGAAGGTGGCTATGACCGGAGAGGGTCACGGTTTGCATCCTGGAGCTGGGGAGTGAACAGGGATCACCTGGGCAAAATTCATCACGGCCAGAGTACCCTGAGTTTCACTGACTGTCACCTACCACAATTGACTCTCTTGCAGCTGCCCAGATTACTTTCCAGGGAGAGATCCTGCAGACTTGTGGTCCTGCTTGAGGATCATAAGCCACTAAGGGTGAGAAGTTGCCATGTAATAAGCTTCCACATCCCTTTATGGATCTATAAGTATCATCATTTCCATATTACACTGGAAAAACAGAGCAGGAACTGATAAAATGACCCTGAGCGCCTGAATCTGTCTGCTTTTAGTTGGTATTACACGCTGACCCCAGTACAAGGGAGCAAAGAAAGAGGGTCTTGATTTGGAGGGTTACCTTCCCAGCCTCTGTTTGCCCTGGGAGAAGGTGACACAGCCAGATCAAGGAGCTGCCTGTGCTTGTAAATACTGTGGCAGGTTTGCCCAGGCTGCAGCAGCACACCCTCCTGCCCCTCCTCAAAATCAAGGCAATGACACGCAGCCTGTGCCCCAGATGCTTCAGCAGTGGTCCCCCAAGAGCTGTGCACATCTGGTGGCCAGGTGCTGAGGCTTTCTGTCGCTGGCTGGCCTCGAAAGCAAAGTAGAGGCACCATCAGAGCTCAAGCCTTCTGGCCAGCGGGCCAGGGGTGAACACCCGATTAATTGCCTCCTCCTATGGAGTCCAAGGGTGCTGCATGCCCTGTCCAAGTTGAGGGGAAATATCTGTCCTCAAAAGCGGGAGAATAGGGATTTTCCATCTTTGGGTCAGGCAGGAGCTCAGATCCATCATCTTGGGTACGATGTGATGGATACAGAATATACACTAAAAGAGAAGCAGTTCAGGGTGTATGGGAGCATCCTGAATGCTTAAAAGGGGTCCACACATGACTTTTGCGAGGCTAGATTAGGTTAGAAGCTGCTACAGTTAAATCTCCTTCGTACGGATTGAATTAATTGCTATAAACTTGCTCATACATGGTTTATCTCACTTCTACAAGGGGTACGAGAACCATGCAGAAACAGACTTTAAATAACTGTGCCTGAAGATTTTAGACTGGCTTGGATGTGATATAACGTGCAGAAAAATCCCTTCCTTCAGCTTTGAGTTTTCATTTTTAGTCTATACACATCACTATAAATACATATATGTGTATATATATGATAAAACCCAGAATAACACCAAGTCCCATCCATATTTTCATTCTGGAAGAGGAAGTGAGAAATTTCCACTCAGCTCTAACTCTGATGTTAAGCAACATCTCTAGGGAAGTTCTAGCCATAACATCACCAGTCTGAGCCCTTAAGATGCAAATTTGTGAATTTTGCCTTGTAAGCACAAAAAATAATCACTTTTCTAAAAGCCAACATAAATATTATCATTGCAATCTCCTTTGTGCAGGTGCCTGCCCCACTCACACCATTAACAACATAGGGGAAGGATGCACAGGAACTCCTGAGAGCTGTAAGAAAAAGGTAAATCAGTTCTCATTTATGAAAATGTTAACTGGCAAATCAGTCATCATTTACCAGTTCTGTCATTTCAAGAAAACTTAGGCCTGTTGGTTGGGAGGGGGATCTTTTATTAGACTATCTGATACACTCAGAAAAAAAACAGATAAGATTTCATCACATATACCCTCTTCAAATCTGTAAATTAAAATCCTCATCCAAAATCATTTAATCTAAGACTATAAAGCCAGATTTCAGAAGTGCTCTTTTCCCAGGCAAGCGTATAAATAAAGATCAGATTTACAAAAATGCTATCAACTAACAATTCCTGCTCGAATACATCTGGCCAGATTTCAAAATGAATTCAGCAGCCAGTTAATCACTTGCTCTTTATTACTTAACTTACTATTAGCATGGGGGTAAAAAAAGAGAGATATTTTCATTTTCTTTTATCTGTTAAAATATTCCCTGCATCTTGCTGTAGTGAAATTCAAAACAT